TTGGCCAAGAACCCATTGGGTCGGAGAGAATCCAGCAACTGATGGTGTGCCATTAATCTGGGGCACGCAATAAGTGAGCGCCTCCTTGATGCCAGAGGCGTCAGTCAGCTGCATGTCGTCCATGTAGACCTCAACGGACTTGCGAAGGATGGCATGTCTTCGTTCAACGATGGCCAGACGTTCATGCGCTTCACCAGCTACAACTGTTTGTTCGATGCCGTGGGCATTGGTCCAGGACTCAATGACCAAGCGCAGCTGTGGTGCTCCAAAGTGTGCAACCCAACAACGTTCAAGACCACGGATGTGCTCCTCGGATTGCTCTGAGCGCAACAGAACGGCTGCTGTGTAGCAAGTTGCCAAATCAACCACTGAGGATGGGGTACTTGGTGGTGTTCTTGAGGCGCAGCCAGAAGACATCTGCTTGTAGAACATCGTTGAACTTGGTACTCACTGGAAGAGATGCGGGTGCAGCATCAGCAGGCTTCTTGTACTTGGCGCATGCAACACAGACATAGGATCGGGCAGCGCGGAGTACTTCTTGATTTGCTCCTCTGGCGGCTAGTAGTTCCGTGAGCTCCTTTGTGGAGGGGTGACCAAGATTTCTGTGAAGACGTTGAACCACTCAAATGGCTTCTTGTTTTGTATCGGCGCGCAGCTTGACCAAGTTGCCAGTCACCAGCTTCTGCTCCGAGGACGCGTGGGCTGTCTCCCAAGCCTGAGGTGCCTCATCGATGAGCAGCGCAGAAGCAATGGTGCTAGCAAGAGCAGGCTGGTAGTTCTCCATGTACTTGGTACGAGGGCCAAGACCAAGAGCAGAACCTTCCAGTGCACAATGGTCGTGATCACCATTGCACGCCAGAGTGAGGGCATTCTGCATGGCCTGCTTGGTGGTCATGAAGGTAGTGCTCTTCTTGACTGGGCGCCAGACCATATCTTCATCTTGACAGGTCGCTCCATAGCGGCATTGATCAAAGTCGGCGCGTCGACCAGGCAAATCACGGAGTGCCTTGGTCTTCCAAGAGAGTGCATGCTTAGGTTGTTCCACATGGGCATGTCGACTACCTTCAACCTGCTTGAGGTAGGCACGACGCAAAAAGCAGAGATGGCGGTCATGGTGGTGGTGTCGAGCTGCTACCAGAGCTTCTTGTTGAGCAGGTGTTCTTCGTGCCAAGGTCTGCATGCGACTCCAGAGCTTGCACTCGGGTGCTATGAGTAGTTCATCAGGTGCTTCTTCATCAAGCTCGCGAAGGAAAGCTTCTTGATGATCAAGTCGATCGAAGTTCCAGCCTGTGTCCAGCGAAAATCCCAAGCGCTTCAGCCACTTGTGAAGTACGAGCTGCGCCACAGTAGACCTCCCACAAGACACGTTTCGGTTGTTGTTCTGGAGGATGCAGGTGACGTGTCACATAGGCTGACAGCTCGTTGAGGTGTGTTCTCAACTGAACGTCCATGGTGTTGAGGTCATGACGTCGAAGAGATGTGGTGGCATTGTCATCCATAGCTTCAGCTCGTTCGCTGACCGTGAATCCCTGTTCTTCCTGTTCGAAGTCGTTCAAGGTGAAGCCATCAACTTGTGGAAGATCAGGCTCAGCGGTCTTGAGGGCAAAGTCAGGCTGGTCGGGGTCGTACTGCGTGAGGTCATGCTCCATTGTGAGCGAACGCAAAAACTCACCTTGTCGGCCGATGGTTGCCTCTTGCCAAGTGGAACTGCCGATGCGGATGCGCTTCATGGCAAAGTCCATGGTCATGCCAAGAGCCTCAATGATGGGGCGACCGCGCAACATTGGCGTATTGCCAGGCAGGAGAAACAATTGCACCGTTCCATATATCGGCCATCCAAGAACGCCGGAAGGTGGGCGGACCACGTAGACCAGGATGCAGCATCGCCACCGAACTGGAATCTTCGTTTTCCTTGGGTCATAGCAATCTTCTCGATGGGGAAGTTGCAGTCAAACTTGAGGTGCTCCAAGTAGCGACGGAAAGGACCATATCCTGAGAGAAAGGCACTGGCACCAGGATCCAGCATCACGCAATCAGGTCGCTGAGTGCCGTTCTTGTCCTCGAAGATGATCAGGGCCTGTTCGGCCACCTGTGCCATGCTCTCGGTAGGTGCAGGTCGCTTCAAGCCGGAGCCCTTGGAGGTAGGCGAACTGGATTGTGGACAGATGGCAGCCCAATGACCTTGTTGTCCACATCGTAGGCACGTCATGTTGGCGCGCGCTCTACCTTTTGGATCACTCTTTCCAGCCATGAGGAGCCACGACCCTTTCCTTTGTTCTTTCCTCCCTTTCCTTTTCCTTTTCTCTGCCATGAGGATGCCATAGGGGATGAGGACGAGGAAGCTGCTGTCTGCAGTGGCTGCTGTCGCTCGGTCAATGCAACCACGGGAAGAAAGCCACGAGCCATCTTCAACTCATTGAAGCGTTTGCGAGCGTCAGTGTAGGAGGCGAAGGCAGTGTCAAACTCTTCAGCCTTCATCATCAAAATCACCCTCCTCAGGGTCGTAGTCCCCAATAGGGTAGTCCTCCTCATAGTAACCAGTCTCTTCCCAAGCTGGTTCTTCACCCATCTCCTCCCAGTCGTCCTGAGCTGCATAGGCCTTGCCGGTCCACTCGGAGAATCGCCGATTGCGGTCGTGGTTCCAGCCTCCACCCTTATAGTCTTGCCCAAGGATCAGGTACAAGGCCTCTATGACGGCGGCCTTCTCGAGGGTGGGAGCCTTGAGCATCAGGAGCTGTCGCTGCTCCCGTGTCAGGGAGGCGCGACGAAGGAGGTGCCAACCTTGAACTGCTTCTGGAAGGCTTACCTTGTGAGCCAAGAGCTTCCTGTAGGCCTCTTCATGGTCATTGACGTAATTGAGGAGCGTCTGACCAGGGAGCCGTTGAAGACCAGTGAAGTAGCCTTCGAAGTCCGATGGAAACTGGACCCGTTGGTCGTAGGCGAAGTTGCCATCCAACAGTTTGAGCATTTCCTCAAAAGCATTGTCCTTCTCCAGCTTGTCGAGGCCCCAGTCTTCGAACAAACGCCAGACTACACCTTTGAACGATCCAACAATGTTCAAAACGCTCTCTTGGGACCGTTTGGAGAGCGACATCTTGCGGTGGTAGAGCTGGATGCGTTGACGCCACTCCTTGTAGTCGGCCGGCTGCCCCGAGAAGAGGGGGACATAGGAATCCCGAAGGTCGGCGTAGCCAGTTCCTTCTGACTTGGATGCCATCGAGCTCGACGCTCCTCCTCCACCTCCCTTCTGCTGCTTTGGCGGCGGCATTCTGTGGGACAAAGATCTCCGCCGTGCTCCTCCCAACAGGGTATCCAGCAAAGAACTCAAGAAACAGGAGCGTGGCCAGGTCCGCAGAGGGAAGTCACCGAAGGACTTGTCGAGAGCGCGCGGCTCGAGGAACCGGAGTGCGCAGCTGGAGCCCTCCCCCTTCACGGGTTTGGGCTCCGCTACCAATGCGAAGCTATCAATGGCTAACGAGGTCCAAAGTAGCGAAGGGTGTGAAGTCGAGGTCCAAGTGGTCAACACTAAGGAGGTAGTCAGGGCCAAGACACACCACGAAGCGAATTGAGGAGCGCTCGCCCCGCCCTGCGGTAGCGGGACGGTTGGTGACATGTTCAAAACATGTTGTACAGCGTACAACTCACACAAAGGCAAAAGTCGCAGGCTTTGGCAGGTCTCCATAGATTCCCAAAGCTTCATTTCAACATACTTTGTCTTAAGAACTTGTCAATTTTTTTGTGATTTCAATCTTTTCTGAGCTTGTTAAGGTTCCCTCCACCTTTGTGATGCTAAGACCGTGGGTGCCTTTCTCGGGTTTTCTGGGGAAACTGCCAAACAAAAAGGTGACTGAATTCTTAGCATCGTAGCTTTAGATGTTTTTAGCCTGCTCCGTTTTTCATTGCCCATGCCGATTCGAACAGAGGAGACCTTTTGATATAAGACTTCTCAACAAAAGATGTGGCCAGGATTATATTGAATATTGGCACGAATGGACTAGCGCTTGGAGAAGAAAACCATTGCAATACAAGGGGGGCTCTTTTTACAGAAGTAGTCTCGTGAAGGAAACGGTGCTTGCAAGAGCCTTTGCAAAAGGAAGTTCTTCTATTTGTCAAGATCAACCTTATACCAATTGGCAAGGTTTTGATGAAGGAGAAAACGGGATACTTGAGGAAGTGTTCATTTCCAAGAAAAGAAAGGCTTCAAAGCACTACTCTTTCGAGAAACCTTTGTAAACGAACAACCGCCTGTGTGTAAGGCTTTTTGAAAGTAGGGGAGTATGTGAAGAAATCATTTTTTGGAGAGAGAGCTTGAACATGTTTGAACCTCAAAGCGTGTTCGTCTCTGCAAGAACTCTGGACAAGCACTCTGCAAAGGTAGATTTTGGTGATTACTATATGGTTATATGCATACATACATGGGATTTCGTTGAGGTTCAGTCTTCGAGATTCCATGACAAGGGTGTCAGTCATGCCATTTGCCCCAAAATTGCACCGGTGGTGCCTTTGGCAGCACGTCACAGCACGTTGTGCCGCTGTATGACATTTGCATTTTCAACCTCTTTCCAAATCCTGCGAGAAACTGTGACTTTGTCTTAGATCGAGAGTGTGTGGTGAAGCCAGATTGACGATGAAGGTAGGGTGCTCCTGGGTCCTTTTAGAGTACAAGACTGACTCTCGTAGGGCTGCGAGAACATGCGTTTCAGAGCATGTCTTCCTCATTATTGCTGAACAGTTAGAAGCTTAGAAGTGTGCACAGCCACTTGGCCACACTGCGAAGCAAGCAACTTCATGCTAAACTTGTACCCATTCAAGCTTTCTGCAAAAAGGTCTGCAAGCTCTCTGCCGGCACTGCAAGATTCTGCCTCCCCAAATATAGAGACAGAATCAAAAGAGAAAAGCCAAGAATCGAGAGTGAAAGCTTTCAAGCAGACATCTCAAATCTTTCAGACTGTATCGAGAAGAGAAGCCTTGACCAGTTTCAGAGAAGCCTTGAAGCGAAGGATGTGCTGCAGCTGGTGGAGCTTCTCAGTCCAGATCTCACGCCTGCATTGGCCAGAGAGGTGGGACGGCAGGATGAGGAAGCACCAAAGCACAGTACAAGTAGTTCCCGGGCAAGCCGGCAGCGGAAGATTCCAAAAGAATAACCCTATAGGAAATGGGCATGTGGCAGGCTGATTCGCCGAGCTGCGATGTTCTTTGACAAAACAAGTTGGCCCGACCAATGGAGCGAAAGCGAAGCAACCACCGTAAACTGTCTCGCAGGAAAAAACCGTTGTTCGTGCATTTTGCAAAATACAGAATAGAGATGACTCAGCCGCGTAGTAAAGGTACTACAAAGTCGCCAGTTCTCAGCTTCCAGCTGCTGCGCGGCTTGCTCCACGTACTAAAGTTGTACTACAAAGTCGCCAGTTCTCATCTTCCAGCTCGCCAGCTACTCCGCGTACTAAAGTTGTACTACAAAGTCGCCAGTTCTCATCTTCCAGCTCCCCAGATACTCCGCGTACTAAAGTTGTACTACAAAGTCGCCAGTTCTCAGCTTCCAGCTCCACAGATTGCTCCGCGTACTAAAGTTGTACTAGAAAGCCGCCAGTTCTCAGCTTCCAGCTCCCCAGATACTCCGCGTACTAAAGTTGTACTACAAAGTCGCCAGTTCTCATCTTCCAGCTCCCCAGAAACTCCGCGTACTAAAGTTATACTACAAAGTCACCAGTTCTCAGCTTCCAGCTCCACAGATTGCTCCGCGTACTAAAGTT